CGACGTTTCAGAACCTCATGGAATTGGTTTTGTCGGGTCTGCAATGGGATACTTGCTTAATTTACCTCGACAATGTAATTGTTTTCAGTAGAACTTTCGAAGAACACCTCCAGCGATTAAGGGGGGTGTTCTTGCGGATGCGATCGGCTAAGTTGAAGTTTAAGCCGGCTAAATGCCACCTTCTTCAGAAATCCGTAAGGTACTTGGGCCACATTGTCGATTCTTCGGGGATCTCCACCGATCCCGCGAAGACAAACTGTGTCAGTTCATGGCCAACGCCCACGTCGGTCTCTGAGGTCCGCAGTTTCATTGGATTTGCTTCCTACTACCGCCGATTCGTTGAGCATTTCGCCACCATTGCCAAACCCTTGCACGCTCTGATGGCAAAAGGGGTCAGGTTTCGATGGGGGCCAGAGGAGGAGGCGGCGTTTGGCTCCCTCTGGGACGCCTTGGTGGGTGCCCCGCCCTTATGTTACCCTGACTTTACGAGACTCTTCTTGCTGGATACTGATGCTAGTAACACAGGCATTGGGGGGGTGCTCTCACAGGTCGTTGGGGGTGTTGAACGGGTGGTCGCCTATGGTAGCAGGGTTTTATCGCCAGCGGAACAGCGCTACTGCGTGACCCGTCGCGAGTTGCTGGCTATTGTTTTTTTTGTACAGCAATTTAGACCTTATCTCTATGGCCGTCATTTTACGGTCCGGACGGACCACGCGGCGCTTCAGTACGCATTAAGGGTCGCCCAACCCTCGGGACAATAATCACGGTGGTTGGAGATCCTCCAGGACTATCAATTTACGACCACTTACCGTAAGGGGTTGCACCACACCAACGCGGATGCCCTGTCGCGGTTGTCGCCTCGTCCCGAATGTGTGTGCTTGATGTGGTCGGCGCGTTGTAAACCGCCCAGTGCTGTGCCCGAGGGTGAGTTGGTCGCGGCCGCGAACGCACCGTCGGTTGACGTTCCCGCTATTCCTGCGGGCGGGGACTCGCTACTCTCACTGTCTCTCGTTGAGTGGGGCCAACTCCAGATGGCTGACAGCTCCCTGCTCGCGTTGCGTCGCAGGGCGGGAGGTCCCGAGGAAGGTCAAAAGCGAGCTGGCTCCTGGCTGCTCAAGCAGGGCCTGCTAATGAGATGGGACAATATGTCCCGGCGGCACGCACTCGTCGTGCCTTCCGCTATGCGGGGCAAAGTTGTTCTGGCCGCACACGAGCGCCTCTTGCATCTGGGTGTAAACAAAACGCTAGGTCTGCTCCAGGGTGACTATTATTGGCCGGGGATGGGGAGCGATGTGGTCAATATAATGAAGGGGTGTGTGGATTGTGCCAAACGGAAACCACCGCGCGTTGCGCCGAATCCACCGCTGCAGTCCATTCAGGTCTCGCGCACTAACGAGCTCGTTGCGCTGGATATTTTGGGGCCTTTTCCTGTCACGCCTAGGGGTAACAAGTACCTGTTGGTTGGTGTGGAATACTTTACCCGATGGCCTATGGCGTGGCCACTCGCCAACCAGTCGGCAGCGGCTGTAGCGAACGCCTTTGTCCAAGGCTACGTCTTGGGCAAGGGGGCTCCCGAACGCTTGCTGACCGACCAGGGAAAGAATTTTTCGAGCAAATTGCTGCAGGAGGTGTGCGACCTGTTGGGTACAAAAAAGGTGCGTACCTCCCCGTACCACCCACAGACTGACGGGATGGTGGAGCGGCTCCACAGAACTTTAACTTCCATGTTGTGCCAGCAGGTGTGCGAGGCACAGGTTGACTGGCACTTGCAGGTCCCGGGGGTCCTCGCCGCGTACAGAATGGCCCCCCATGCAGCAACGGGATTTTCCCCATTTTATCTGATGTACGGTCGGGAGGCCGATCCGCCCATGGAGACTCAGCTGGGACTTTCCGTGCCACGGCCTAATTCCAAGTTGGCCAACCATATTAAATTTAACATTGAAAAACTGGCCGAGGCACGGGAGGCCGCACGGCTTAATTCGAGGTCTCGCCAAATCGCCAACGATCGCTTGAGTGCAAGGAGGGTGTCCGTGCACGATTGGAAACCGGGCGATAGGGCCTGGCTGCATTGCCCCCATGCACCTTTGGCTACGTCGCCTAAATTATTGAGGCCATGGCGGGGACCCGTGGAGGCCGTGCCGGTTGCACGCCCCCAGTGTGTGCAGATAAAGTGAGGAAAGCGACGTTGGTACGTTCACCCCTCCCGGCTGAAACCGTTCTCGCCACCATATGGCCTTCCTTTGTGTCGGGAGGACCGAGCATGTGATGTGACCGACGACCCGGGGAGGGAAATGTCTCCGCCTGATCCTCACATGTTTTCGCCTGATCCACTCCCAGGTGTCTCGGAACTGACGGCTGCCGACGACCGGCGACCGGATCCCCGCGGCACGGACGGTTCTTCCAGGCCCGATCCGTGCCTTCCTGGGCTGCCGGAGCCACCGGACGGTCGACAGCGTCCTGTCCTGTACGACGGACCGGCCAGGCGGACTCGCGCTAGATCGCGCAACTTTTCCTGACCCAATAAATGAGGCGGAGGTGCAGGACGAGTCGGCCGGATCGTCTCGTCACGGCGTTCCCCGTTCGTTCGACCGCTCTATCGTTCCGTTCAAGGAGCAAGCGGGAGGGGGATCGGGAGTCGAGGAGACACTGGACACGTCGGTTTTTTTTTACAAAATAACTTTTATTCTGTTGCTCGTCGGTTTGTACATAGTTCGTTGTTGTTACTGGTTAACGTTGTGTTGTGTTGTTGTGTTGTGTTGTTGTGTTGCGTTGTGGTTATGTTACGGGGCACAATTGGGGAGTGGGGTTTTTTTTTTGTTTTAGCAGCCAGGCCGGCTGCGAGCTATGTGGGAGGGGGTGATGTAGGGGTGATACACGCTAGCAGTAGGGATCGTGGGGCAGCGCGTGGTGATTGGCTGTATAGTGGTGACGCGCGCTGACAGTGATGGATCGTGTGGCAGTGCGTGCTGATTGGTTGTGTGCGCTGACACGAGCTGGGAAAAGGGATCGTGTAGCAGCGCGTGGTGATTGGTCAACTAGGGTGGTGCTCACATCGACGTCCGCATAGGCTCCGTCTCCCCGGGAGCGGAGGACTATAAAAGGCGATGCGCGCGGGCGCTCGGGGAGTTGGTGACCAGTGAAGACGGAAGACGGAGGAGGAAGAGATAGGGCCCTGAGACCCCTAGTCCCGCTGTCCTTGTAAGGGCCGGGACCCTGTGTGGCTCAGAGGCGGGACCTTGGGACCCGGGGCCGGACGTCCGTGTGAGGGCCGGGCCACGGGACCCAGTGGTCGCGACCCATACCCAAGCTGGGGTGGGTCTGTAGGTTCCCCTGGAAGCTACGGGGCTGGAGAGCCCGTGTGTGTGTAGCCGGGTGGAACGTGTAGCGTGAGCTGTAGTGACCACACGTGTCGGGTGGAACGTGTAGCGTGAGCTGTAGTGACCACACGTGTCGGGTGGAACGTGTAGCGTGAGCTGTAGTTGTCCACACGTGTTATTGTGCACAAGGAAAGAGTTAATAAAGTGTGCTACCCGTCAAGTGGTCTCCCGCCGTAATTTACAATATTACATATATACGACCGGTCAACAGACGGCAGCCTGCATCTCCATCCGTGGGTGGAGTCTCTTTGGTGGGACGACAACAAAGTGCCTCTGTTGTCTGTTCCCAGCCGCCTGCCCGCCTTGGCTTGATGTGTTGCGTTCGCTTCAGTCTACACGCGTGTTGATACCGAGATTCGAAGTCTGACAATTAGAGGCCGACCGAAAATCTGTTTCCGTTTCAGCGCCGAAAGTTGGCAAAGGGTCTTTCGGCATAGTTTCTGTTTCGGCCGAAGCCGAAAAGTTCGGTTTCGGCCGAGAGTATTTTTTTTACTTTCGGTTTACTGTCGGTTTCGGCCGAAACCAGAAATTCAGTTTCGGTCGGCCTCTATGACAAACCTTACTACTTGGCTGTGTCGGATGGTATATATATATTTACGCGATCTAACCCAAAACAACGATTGTGCAATGCATCTTAATTTACATGCCTATCAATCACGGTTCTCACACCACGTTTAGATTGTTGTCCTTCCCCCGCACCTCCGATTTGCACGGTTGGCTACGTACGGTGCGAAAGAAGTTCAACATACATTTCCTCCGTAGATCCCAATGCGCCACCGTGTATGGAAAGGAAACAAACAAAACCTGCACTCGTTCTCATTGCAAGCATTAGATTACTTTCCCCACAAATGCATCAACGCCTGTGTTTTTCGGATCTTTATCTGGATTATTTCACGATTTTCAGTGAGCATAGAAAAACATGAGGGGGGTGGAGCGGTGATGCAGCGGTTAGCAGCCTATCCTGTGAGCCGAGACATCTGAGTGGTGACAGGCATTTGAACAGGGTTTGGGGTGTGTGTGTCTCCCGTTACCATCCCGCACACAACCCTACCGCATGTGGATGACAAATTACTATATTATTTGTTTTACAAAAATTAACGAGTTGTGCCGAACTCTTGGGTTCTTTCTGTCACGTAGGTAGAAATAAAATAAAACACATCACGACGTGACTTTACCGAAATAACCAAAGACTATGGATTCCTGTAGTTACGAAAGCTTCAAATCAAGATTGTGCCGAACTGTTATTTCACCATAGCAGGTTTGCTTCTAAATAAATTATCGAGTGTCAGCTCCAGTTAAGAAAAAAAGTCACCAAATTAGTTTTTTTTACCCACAAAATTAATTCAAGATAGCAGAATCAATGTTTTAATCATCGTTAGCGTTGGAGACTTGAGTGGCAAGGCAAGTTACACGAAACAGCCTAAACGGTGACCGTGAGCTAATTAATAAACGGTGCGATCATTATCACGTGTCTGTTTTGCCAATTTCTGCAGCATGTGCTTACGTGCGACGTGCGTGGCTGGGTGCAGTGCCACTGAAATTGGATCAGGGGCTAAAGATAGGCCCCCCACTATTGCACCCATCCCCTTCCCGACACTTGCCGCCAACACACAGAACACCCAGTCTGCACAGCACAGATTTACGATAGACGGCCTCGTTCTACAGCAGAACCTGTCCCCGATCGAACAAGGACAGTTGCTCTTTTTTTTTTCCACACGAGCCCCGGAATTATACGAAAAGCATTTCCACAGACTCGGGAGAACTGATTTTTAGTTTGTCGTTTAAAAGTGAGTTCACAAAGTAAAAAAAAGTCACGTTTTTCTTCTGATAAAATAATTTGCGGCACCCAAGGCTGAAGTTCATCACGGGAGGGGGTTTCTTGTTGTGTATTCTTTTAGCGCAAAAAATCAGCACAGGCTAATAAGGTACGTGGGATATTTTAGAGTGTATATATATTTAACATCACTTAATATTATGGTAAAATTACTGTAATGTGTCCATGCATGTCATCTGTGTTATTGTATGAGAGGGCAACGTTGCGTACCCAACCATCAACATATTCTCTCTGGACCAATTAACAGCCCACACCCAGTCAAGTTGTGGTGCACGGTGTAAATATCGTTCTCTGTCGATGTCCACAAATTCCACGTTATTGCCACTCAGAAATACGTGCGTAATCTCGCATTCACTTTCGCATTTCTTCACGGTAAAGCATCTTTCCATTGTTCACAGCATCTCGCACTTTATTTCTGTCCGGTAACCTACTTGTGCGATGGTGAACTGCAATTTTATATAGATTTTCACGTATTCGACATTAATGTTCACACATTTACCTACACCTAAGTTCCAAGCGAGTCAGATATGCGACTGTGCGATGCCCTGACTGCGAGCGTTCTCCGAAGGCACGAGTTTGAGTGGGGACTCATTTCTATTTGCTACTCAATCTGATGATGATGAAGAAGAAGACTGCCCTGATAAGCTTTTCTTAAGTCCCAACAGTTGGGGGCCGCTGTGAATGTCCATCCAAACCTTTAGTCAAAGTGAGATTAACTATTTCTAGATTTGAAGCTTTCGTGACTGCAAGGATTCATATTCTATATAAAGTCACGTAGGTAAAACATTAAAATTAATGAAAGTAAAATAAAATAAAAATCACGACGTTTCGGAGGCAACACAAGTCTCCGTCATCAGGTGGGACCGTCCCACCTGATGACGAAGACATGTGTTGCCTCCGAAACGTCATCAGGTGGGACCGTCTCACCTGATGACGGAGACTTGTGTTGCCTCCGAAACGTCGTGATTTTTATTTTATTTTACTTTCATTAATTTTAATGTTTTACCTACGTGACTTTACCGAAAAAACCTAAGAATATGAGATTAACTATACCTGTACATTACAAAGTGGAAAGCTTGCTCCACATTACATGTTGTAATCCCCCACATTCTGACCAATAAATGCACCGATGTTTGTCTTGTCAGGGGTAAGGTTTTGAAGTAAAGCATTGTCCCTCCGTGGTGAAGGGGATTGTGGCTTGGCTAAATTGAGGCACGGAGGAGAGACGTTATCTCCCCCGTCTGATATACAGGATGTCGTGGGTTCGATCCTGACTGACGCCTGTATATTTGGAGTTTGCATGTATCTCTCCCCGTGGTCGTGTGCATTTTTCTCGGGGTCCTCCGGGTTTTCCCTCCACATTTAGAAACATGCGTTTAGAGTATTTGGCTGCTATATATTTCCACATGATTAGACACTTCGTTGAACTATCATTTGTGGCCAAGTCGCAACTCAAAAAGGGATACACAGCTCAGTGTGCCTTACCTGATAAAATAAATGAATAAATTGTATTTTTATTGGGGCATGGAGGCCAGATTTTCCAATCAAAATCCTCAATTAGTATTTTTTTTTTGCTGAAAACAATACAAGAGTTAGATTCACCCCATGAGTAGGTGAAGAATCGCGGGAATTCTAAGTTACTTCTCTGAGTGAATGACTGGAACACAAAGCGATGCATGGACTGTTGGTATTGCCACTGTGAGATTTTTGCATGCAAGACCTGAACATGTAAAATCACTAACAAAAATACAATACAGCCAATCAGTAAGGTTTATCACGTAAACAAAAGTGCCAATTAGTTACTAGTTTTGATTTGAAGCTTTCGTGACTGCAGGAATTCATACTCTTTGGTTCTTTCAGTAAAGTCATGTAGGTATAAAATAAAATAAATCACGACGTTTCGAGCGCAACACAAGTGTCTGTCATCAGGTGAGAAAGCATGGTCTGCTGCTGAGGCAGACTGTTTTAAAAAAAATTGAAATGGGTGTAGCCCAAGGGTCATAAAAAAGTGGCCGGGGCTAGTGATGTTAATGTGATAAATTAACATGTAACTGTAAGATAGAAGGAGAGCGGCCTCTTCGACAAGGGAGTGCAACCCAACGGGTGCAATCCAAAGGGCATGTGAGTATGAGAGTGCAATCCAAAGGCATGAAGGTACAATGCAATGGACATGTGAGCATGAGAGATCTAAGAGAGAGGCATAGAGAGACAGAGACACAGAGAGTCGGAAATAACCGCTGACATAGGCAGGTAGGATGGAAACATCACAGTCAGTTAAGACTTTACCTGGTTGATAACGTCCTTCCAATGATTGCTCAGTTTGTACCCATCCTCTCCGTTGAAGTTGTGTCGTGTTTATATATCTGGATGGCTTCATGAACAAATCTCTGAAGGTAGCCGGTAGGTTTGCAGAGTACCTTCGTTTTGGAAAAATCTATTTTATGTGAGCCCACAGCATTAAAACAATGATCAACAATGGCAGAGGTATTAGTCCTACCGTATTCTTAGGTTTTTTCGGTAAAGTCACGTAGGTAAAAATTTTAAATTAATAAAAGTAAAATAAAATAAAAATCACGACGTTTCAGGAGGCAACACAAGCTTCCGTCTTCAGGTGGAACCGTCACAGCCCGACAGCTGTATCAAGTAAATAAGAGGATTACAGGAGATACCATTCCGTATATATAATGTTTGAGTGGGGGCGGGGAAGGGCCAGGACTGGCCCACTTTTTATTATTATGGTAAGGTGCGGCTTGAGACTATGAATAGACTGCATAACAGAAGACTGAGCCTTTATTATGGAGAGGTTCGGTTTGTGACTATGCCTAGCCTACATAACAAAAGTGTGAAAAAAGAAAGCTAAACCTGGTAGAAAGCTAAACATGGTAAAACAAAACTGGCTGTTCATCAGTAACCTGTAATAGTTTTCTGTCAAATAAGATGGTCCAAATAAGTGTAGTTAAATCTTTTTTGCATGGTTAATCACATCTTTCCAATGATTACTCAGTTTGTAACCATCATCACGGTTGAAATTATGTATGTGTTTGTATATTTGTATGGCTTCGTGTACAAACCTTTGATGGTAGCCAGGAGGTTTGCAGAGCACCTTGGTCTCAGAAAAGACAATTTCATGAGAGCCCACAGAGTTGTAGCAATGATCGGTAACGGCCGAAGAATCAGTTTTGCCGTGTTTCAGATCTGACTTGTGCTCGCGGACACGATCAGAAACATGACGTTTCGTTTCTCCAATGTAGCAATCACCACAACTGCAACTCAATTTGTAGACTCCAGGATACTGTAAGTCAGGAACAACATCCTTCACAGATGGAATCAGATCACGGATTTTATGCACTGTACTGAATCGGACTTGGATCTTATGTTTGTTTAGAATTTTGGAGATCTTTTTGGTCACGCCTGCTATGTATGGTAACGTGATAGTTTTGGTCGGAGTTTCATGTGGCTGTTTCTGTATGGTGGGAGAAACAGCTTGGCGGATGGTGCGGTCAGAGTATCCGTTCATCCTGAGGGCCCGATGTACATGTCTTAATTCACCGGCCAGGTGGTGTTGGTCAGAAATGCCATGGGCTCTGTGGTATAGCGTTTTGATGAGAGAATTCTTTTGAGATGGGTGGTGGTGGGAATCCGGTTTCAAGTAGGAATTTGTGTGGGTGGCTTTCCTGTAGACAGAATGTCCCAAGGATCCGTCAGGTCTCCTCTCAAACAGAATATCCAAGAATGGTAGTTTACCATCTTTCTCCACTTCCATGGTGAATCTAATGGATGGGTGTCTAGAATTGATGTGGTCCAAGAAGTGGTTCAATGCTGGGAGGCCATGTGGCCAGATGACGAAAGTGCCATCCACATACCTCTTCCACAGGGAAGGACGCAGGGTGGATGTCTGGATGGCGTCTGATTCAAACTTTTCCATGAACATGTTGGCTATAACTGGTGACAAGGGGGAGCCCATAGGGGTACCCTCATTCTGTTTGTAGAAGGTTTTACCAGGTTTAGCTTTCTTTTTTCACACTTTTGTTATGTTGGCTTGGCGTAGTCACAAACCGAACCTCTCCATAATAAAGGCTCAGTCTTTTGTTATGCAGTCTATTCATAGTCTCAAGCCGCACCTTACCATAATAATAAAAAAGTGGGCCAGTCCTGGCCCTTCCCCCCCCCCCTCAAACATTATATATATACGGAGTGGTATCTCCTGTAATCTCTCATTTACTTGATACAGCTGTCGGGCTGTGACGGTTCCACCTGAAGACGGAAGCTTGTGTTGCCTCCGAAACGTCGTGATTTTTATTTTATTTTACTTTTATTAATTTGAATTTTTTACCTACGTGACTTTACCAAAAAAAACCTAAGAATATGAATCCTTGCAGTCACGAAAGCTTCAAATCTAGAATTAGTCCTACCGTGTTTCAGATCTGCCTGTTCACGAACGCAGTCCGAGACATGTCGTTTCGTTTCCCCAATCTAACTGCTGCCGCAACCACAACTCAGTTTGTAGACACCAGGGTATTGCATTTCAGGAATCAAATCCTTTACAGATGAGATTAAATCACGGATTTTGTATACTGTGTTGAAACGAACCTGGATCTTGTGTTTTTTTTAAATTGGTTCAGTGCTGGCAGGCCATGTGGCCAGATGACGAACGTGTCATCTACGTATCTCTTCCACAAGGAAGGATGTAGGGTGGATGTCTGGATGGCATCTGTCTCAAATTTCTCCATGAAAACATTCGCTACCACTGGCGATAAGGGAGAACCCATTGGGGTACCCTCGTTGTTTGTAGAATGTACCATTTCAGGTGAAGTATGTGTTGGTAAGACAATGCCTTACCAAAGTTGGTACATCTGGATTCAGTCCTTGTTGGACCAAGTGTTCAATGATTGCAATGGTGTCAAGTACAGATACATTGGTGAACAGAGAGACTACATCGAAACTGACAAGCAAATCATCCGGAGACAGTGAGATGTCCTTGATTAGAGAAACCAAGTGAGCTAAGTTAAGTACAGCTGAGGTGGCCTTGCCCGTGAAAGAAAGCAGGGTCTCAGACATAAATCAGGCCAGTTTGTAGGTGGGTGAGTTAAT